CAAAAAAACAAAGCAATCCACCACATCAAAAGAAACAGGACAAGAACCATATGATCATATCAATTGATGCAGAAAAAGTATTTGATAACATCCAACATCCATTCCTAATAAAGACCCTCAAGAAGATAGGATTAGAAGGGAAAGTCCTCAATAAAGTCATATATGAAAAAATCAATAGCCAATATTATACTCAATGGAGAAAAGCTGAAAGCATTTCCACTGAATAATGGAGCCTGACAAGAATGTCCTTTATACACACTTCTATTCAACATTGTGCTGGAAGTCCTAGCCAATACCATAAGGCAATGGCAAGATAACAAGGGTGTATGATTGGGTTAAGAAGAGGTGAAACTTTTGCTATTTGTAGATGATATGATTCTATATATTGAGAATCCTAAGGGGTCCACAATAGGATTGCTGAAAACAATAGAGGAGTTTAGTAGAGTAGCAGGATACAAGATTAGCAGGTAGAAATCAATTGGATTCCTATATACCAGTGATGGGAATACAGGAAAAAATATCAAGTAATCAGTACCACACTAGCCACGCAAAAGCTGAAATACCTAGAGCTATACCTTACCAAAAAAACAGAAGACCTGTTCGAAGGAAACTATAGAACATGACTATAAGAAACCAAAAGGAATCTACACAAATGGAAGCATATTCCATGTTCGTGGATCGGAAGACTCAATATTGTGAATAGGTCAATGCTACTTGAAGCTATCTACAAATTCAATGCAATCCCGATCCAAATTCCAGCATCATTCTTCAAAGAAATGGAAAAACTGATTACCAACTTCATATAGAAAGGGAAGAAGTGCAGGACAAGCAAATAATTCCTCAAGAAGAGAAAAAAGTAGGTGGTCTTCCACTACATGACCCCAAAACCTACTATACATCCACAGTTGTCAAAACAACCTAGTACTGGTATAATGATACATACTCGGACTAATGGATCAGGACAGAAAACCCAGAAATAAAAACATCTGCATACAGACAACTGATTTTTGACAAAGGCCAAAAAAAAACCCCACCATTAAATAAGAAGCAGGTGCCCTCTTCAATAAATGGTGTTGGAAAATCTGGATGTCCACGTGCAGAAGAATGAAACAAGACCCATATCTCACTCCATGTGCAAAAACAAGCTCAAGGTGGATCGAAGCGCTAAATGCAAAACCCAAAACTATCAGGATCATCAGTGAGAAAATTGGGACAAAGATAGTGCAGGGAAGACAGGCTATCAGAAATCACAAAGGAAACACAGTGCGTGGCAAACATGAGAGACCTGCTAAAAAGAAACACTTGTGTACATCGAAAGACTTCATTAAAAGTGTAAAAAGAGAGCCCACAAAAAGATATTGGTAATGACATAACAAAAGACTAATTACTAAAATCTACAGAACTTTACAAGCTTACAAGAAAAAAACTAACAGCCCTCTGAGAAGGTGGGCAGAGGACCTGAACAGAGGATTGCAAAGGATGACACTCAATGGCTAAGGCATGAAACCCTCCCAGCCATTAACCATTCCAGAAATGCAAGTCAGACAGCCGTAAGATACCACCTAGGGAAAAACCAGACCAACAAATGTTGGAGGGTGTGGTGAGATAGGAACTCTGTGTGTGTGTGTGTGTGTGTGTGTGTGT